ATGTGCTTTACACAATTGATGTATGTATGGATTGTGATAAGAGTCGTATGAGCTCCTAATAAAACAATATAAAAAAACCCCAACAACCAATAAAACAATACCAAGGAAGAGAGCTCCGGAAAGGAAATAAAAAACAAACAACAAACAGTATCACTGAATACAAACCTAATCAGAGAAATAGACTGTACAAAGAAAATTTGCAAACACTACAAAAAACCTACATAAATGGAAGATTGTTCCATGTTTAGGGGTAAGGAGACATGACATTGTGAAAATGCCAATGTTACCCAAAGCATTTAGAAATGTAATGCAGTTCTGATCCAGATCCCAGCATTGGTTTTAGAAAGAAATGGGAAATGAAGCACCAGTTTTGTGTGGAGAGGAAACCCATCCCGGATAAGTAAAGCACTATTTACAAAGAACACAGTTGGAAGCCTCTTACTTCCCAACCTCAAAACCTCCTGCACAGCCACGGGAGTCACAGCAGCCTGGGACTAGTGTGATGGTAAATACATGGACCAATGGAACCGAACAGAGGCCACAGAAGTAAGTTCATCCACCTACAGCCTGCTGATTTTGGACAAAAGGCTGAAAGGCATTAGTCTCTTTAACAAAGGGTGCTGGCAAAATTAAATTTCCATTGCAGAAGACTGAAATAAGACTTTACTCCATATAAAAAAATGAACTAAGCTGGATTAGTGTCATACATGTAAACCCTGTAACCATAATGATGATCAATGAAAAAAATAGGGGCAAACTTAAGGGCCCTAATACCTGGCACATAATTTAAACACACACAGAGCAGAGGTCAAAATAGGTGGTGGACTTTCTAAAACATGGCTCTTGGTGCGCCATAAGACTTCAGTGAAAGAGTGAAAAGAGAAGCAACAGACTGGGAAAATTGTTTGGGCAATGGTATATTGGACAAGGGACTGATTTATAAAATCTATAGAAAACAGCAAGTTCACAAGAAGATTACAAAAACAAACTAAACAATACTAAGGAAGAGAGCTCTGAAAAGAAAATAAGGAAACCAGTATCACTGAAGAAAGCTAACCAGAGCAACAGACTTTGCAGGGAAACCACGAGATGCTACTGAAAACCAAGGAGAACGAGAAGGGGCAGCTAATTAAAAGTGGGCAGAGGACATGAATAGGAAGACATGCAGACGGCCGACCAACGCATGACGGTATGCTCGTGACCACTAGCCACTTGAGATGCACAAAGCAAAGCAAGTGATGCCCTTACACTGCACTGGTGAGAAAACTTAAACCCCCCCATGCGCGCGGAGACGGGTGTGGAGAGACCGGAGCCCGCCTGCACTGCTGTGGGCGCTGTTCAAATGACACACCCTGTGGGAAGCAGTGTGGCGTTTCTGCAACAACTGCACGGAAACTGCACGGAGGAGTCCCATCTGAGCCCACAAGCCCTTTTCTTGGTGTGTGCCTTACAGAAGTAAGGTGTAAAACAGGAGCAGATGCATGCACACCCGGGTCCAAGGCAGCGCCGCTCAGTCACACGAAGCTGGGACAGCCCAAGCATGGAGTCTGCGTATCACTCGGAATGGTGGGGGATACTGTGCAGGCCCTCATGGCATGGGTGGATCTGGAGGACATTATGAGGGAGAAGTTAGGCCCTCACCATAGAAGACCACTACTATGAAAGAAAAAACATCAAGATAAAGGCTTTCATACAACAGAAACAGAGTTTGATGCTTACCATCAAAGAGGGCAAGAGGGCGGAGGAAGGGAAAGACAGCAATGGACCAGAGGGGAGAGATGTTAACCTGGGCGAAGGAGAAGACAATAGCTGACAAGAGGGAGCAGAGAAATAGTAGGGGGCGGGACATGGCAAGCTATTGGGAGGCTTGATAAATCCTAAGTTGTTGAATGAGTTAAAAAAAAGAAAAATTCAGAAGGGTAAGCCCCCACCTAATTCACAACAAAAAATAAAAAACATCACCACCACAACAAGGAAAACATGCATACACACTAACAAAAAACAACCCAACCTGCCTTGGTCGAGTTATGTACAATAGGGAAACAGGTCATCTGTGGCGCCTGCGGTTGGGACAGTGGTGGCAGGGACTCTGGCTCCAGAGGACGCCAGTCACACAGGTACACTCAGTTTCAGACTCCATCACGCTGTGTGTATGCTTAGGATAGTTACACCTTTCTGTTTGTACACTTCTAAATAAAGGCATGTACATATGGAAATATATTTATATATGAGGATGGGGAAATAGATCTATGTGCATATATTTATAGGTTTAGTATTAAGGTATTAGGTAGCAGATGGACATTGGGTCTCCACTCAAGTATTTCCTCAATGCAAGAATACTTTCTTCTATTAAATTGGCATTCTGTGATGTTCACCTTCCTGACACAAGGTAAACAAGTGGCCATCTAGCTCAGAAGCAACAAAGCCCACATGGAAGAAGCACACCAGCCTGCGTGATCACGAGGTGCTGAAGGGATCAGTTAGCAGGCAGCAAAGAAGAAAACATATCATTGTGTGCTCACCTCCCTGATACGATCGCTGAAGACAAATGGGTGCATAAGCAAATGTAGCAAAGAAAGCTGATGGTGCCCAGCTATCAAAAGATATAGCGTCTGGGGTCTTAAAGGCTTGAGGGTAAACAAGCAGCCACCTAGCT